CAGCGGGGAGGGGGAGCGGGGGAGCCGATAACTCGCCTGTCTGGCGCCATGACCATATGCTATCTCGCTGCGTGTGCAGATAAGCACTCGCTACGCTATGTGGGGTTTTGCTGGCTGTGCCGTGCGCGCTCCTGTAAACTACATCTGGCTGATTGACGTACCGGTTTGCTCGGCAACAGACGACGTCATAACCTTAGCGGCCAACCAGCGAGCTCTTGCTCGGTGATTGACAGAATGTTTTGGCATTTTTGTTTCAGCTATTGCGTCTTAACCTTGCCGCGCGCGACCCCCACAAGGGTTTATGGGCCGTTTGGAGATGGCCTCTAGGCGTCGATCGCAAAATCTCGCTTTGAAACGGCCCCGTATTCGCGGAGTTGCAAATCTACCCCTTAACCAGTTATTCTGTCGAAGAGAACTAAAAGGGGCGGCGTGCTCTCGTTAGGGGCGGCATGCTCTCGTTAGGGGCGGCGTGCTCTCGTTAGGGGCGCGGTGTCGCACTGCCGCTGCACGCACGTGACCCGGCCGCATTCCGTCCAGTGACCATTGCCTGTTGCTGTAATAGTTTGCACCGTTCAAATGAAGCACTTACCTAATGAAGTATGCATCTCTGTTCAGATCTATTCTGCTGAATATGCGCCACAACACAGAAGTTTTTTTTTATGGTAATAGTAAAAGAACATATAGGCAAACAAACCTCCATATTTTTCTTGTAGTTGCTAAAAATGACAGCAAGAATGATGCTCATGAACACGAACAAGCAGACGATGATGTAGACAATGAAGAACAATGCATTCCATCTGCTCTGATCATAGGCTGGCATCCTGAAACATACTGCATTAGTTATTAAACAGAAGGAAAAAAATAAATCCTGCATGTATATAGCCATGCTTCCATGATGCAACTTGTAATACGGGGCAAAAACTATAGACACTATACACAAGCCTAATCAAAACGTTATGTACAGAATATAGAAAATAATTCGCTCGTTGAATCTATTATTAGCATAACCAACAACAACTAATCAACAACACAACTAACAACAACGCACTCACATGACGTCAGGACTGTTGGAAGTGGTGACCAACACAAACAACTGGTAAAATGACTCGAAGTAGCTATGGAAATACGGTGAGCCATCACGGAAGGTCAGCTGCCTACAAAAAACAACAACATCCGATGAAAGGGTTGAAGGCAAGACATTCATAAATTATGCCAACTAGCCAAGTAGACGATAATTAGTAAAGTCAAAGATATGCTTGTATGAATGCAGAACCAGGGGCAGTAAGTACTCCCTAACGATTCCTTAATGAAGAAGCCTTGGTGAAGATAAAGCCTGCATGTTATCTGGCTTCTCACTGGTCACAACGATGAGGCAGTTGTAAAGGATTATAGAGTAAGTCAGTCGCCCACATAAAAGTGAGAGCTAGAGGCCTAGCCGGAGATTCTAACGCAGAAGAAATCCAAGGCAGGGAGACTCACAGATTCTTGCCCTCTTTGTTCATTAGTTATAACTGTTGTGGTATCGCATCACAGCCAAACTGCTAACAGTGATTATGATTTGGTAGCCATATTTTCAGTCTATACTTCCAGTCTATATATCACTCCGCCTCCGCAGCCTCATCACCCATCCATGTAGTACTACCACAATAACTATTGTTATACCTTTTACCATAATTATTTATACCATAATAAAGTAAAGACTGTTTTCCTGAGAACCAACCTCTCTCCCATCTTTCCATCTGCCATAACCAATACTTTGCTATATATGCTGTTACAGTGACTCACAACATGTAACATGTTGCTACAGAAAACTCTAACAGCAAATAAAAAAATATAAATAAATAAATATATATATAGGCTACTAATTAATATTTCCATTGAACTTTACTACATCTTACTAATCCGCTCTTGTCTCCTATGAAAATGTTTTCCACTTCAAAATTTGCTGTGATGTTTGAAATAATTTCACTTTGATGACCAAAATAAAGTTGAAGTAAGACAGTGAGCAAGTACATTATGCGCGTTCACACGAACGTTTTTAGCCCGAGCCTAATTAGGCCCGCGACAAATTTGGCTCGAGCCGAGCTTTCACACGGATGGTTTTTCGGGGCCGTGCCGAGTTAGCACGAGCCAATTTGGTCCCATCGAAAACATCTGATCAGGCCCAAGCCAAATTTTAGCACCAGCTAAATCGGTAGAGCGGTAGATGCCGCGAGTGTCGAACGTGTACTTCGACGAAATAAAGTCCAAAACAGTATAAAAATTCGAAATATTTTATCAGGATGCATGTTTTCAAGATTTATAATTGAACTCGGAACGGAAGTAAACACTGAATCGTACACAACGCCATCTCGCGACATACTGCCAAAGTATCCGTGAGATATTTGTGCAATAAAATTTATTTGAATTTGAATTTGAATTTAACAGACAGTATTCACTTGCGTACGTGTGAACGCCCCGACTCAAACCGGCCCGAGCCAAATCTAGCCCATTTGGCCCGAGCCAAACCATTACCGTGTGAACGCGGTAATTATTACAAGTAAATAAATGACTGATATAGTACAAACTTCTGAATGAAAATCTTGGTTGCCATAAGCGTGAATATCGCCAATGTTACAAAAAACAGGACCAAGACATTAATAATGTCAGCCAGGGTGCGCCTAATGTTCCTAAACGCTCGCCGAATCTGAAACACATAAACATAAAAACATAATTTGGTCAAGCATGCAGCTGCTAACAGTGTAGTTTTAAGTATATTCAACTTCAATCAGACATTCTGCGACATACACCGGGGCGTCACAGCCATAGGGCTGCCGTAGCAAAACGCTAACGGCCGCCAGCCTAAAGGGGCCCCCAAACTTTCAAAATAGCCTCAGAATGGTGGAAATAGCATTTTAGAGCGTCTAGATTTCAAAATTTTTGGGGGGGAGACCACCCAGACCTCCCCTTCACACTTCCTACCTCCGGCACTCGTGCCGTGCACATGCGGCGCACGGTCCATCAAAAAATATTCATGTTTAGGGCCCCAATTTCATTTTTGCTTACAGGCCCCCAATCATATTGTGACTCCAATGAATATACAACCAACTGCATACAGTATTCGTGTGATTTTATTTCTCGAGCTCTATTAGAAAGCTCTTACATAACACTCGCAGTTTCAATGATTTTGAACTTCTTACAGTGTTTACCAATGACACCTGACTATTATCTGCTATGAAACTATCATTTCTTTTTAATATAGGCCTATCATTCCTAGTAAAAAGTAAAATTTACTTATAAACGTCGCCATACAATTTACAAAGTTAATATGGTTGGTAATTAATGGACCTATACCTGCCGACCTTCTGCAAAGTTGATAACAAAGAGAGGCCTGAAGGCGCGTGACCATCTCACTGTTTCCATGCCAACCAACAGCATGACGACATTCACCAGCATGTCTACAACTATCAGCTATAACAAAAAACATAAATTTGTATTATAATATAGTGACTGTATGCAAATAAAATATTGAAAATGAAATCATATGACCTGACAATGGAATTTACACACTTAACAGCACCTTCGACCTTATGTAGACGTAAATTTTGTTACCTATGTCTATGTACTCGCCCATATTTTGATAGGGTTGCTACATATTTGGTATGGTTGGTCTTTTTTATATACTTGGTATATTTGATAGTAATTGTTTACCAAGGCTATAGTTGATTAGGTATAGAATACAACCAATTAGAAATCATTGCTAGCTGACACGATACTACAACTTTTGCTACTTCTGATGGACTGAGGGCTTGAAAAAAATTTCTATACATTGAAAAATTTTAATATAGTTTAAACATTTAACTAAATATATCTTAAAAAACCTAACAGGGTTAAATTTATCGCAGTGGCTACGCGTCCAATCATCCATTACAAAGCTGATAGGCTTGATAAGCTGATAGTCACAATTAGGCCACGCCCCCTTTCAAATAGTTGATTTTACTGGATTTACTATATTGCTTCAAAAGTTACAAAAACACTTCTTTTTTTTATAAAAAACCTAAAGGTTAAGGATAATATAGGAGCCTGGTTAATGTAATATTAAGGTAAAAACTTATTGTTTATTCTTTTTTACTGAAAAAATATAGTTGGGTTCGCATAAGAAATATATGACCGGACGCGTAGCCTGGAAGCTTAAAATTATTCATGACATGGCTTTTGTCTTTACTCACTATGACTGTGATTAAAACAATGATATTTTTCTCATCCTTCCAGAAGTTTTTGGTAAATGACCAGCCGTGAATAAATCGAGATATGAAGAAAGCAATACATGCAGTTTCTATCACCATTGTGGCCTACAAAAAACAATTGTTATTCAATTCAATAGGCACACATCCAGCAAAATAGTTATTCCAAGAGAGTCACCAAATTATAACTTCTACAAGAACCATTTATTCAAGTGCACAAATAACATACATGTTAATTTAATTGTCTGATTTCAAATTTACAGCTGGAATTTATATGATCAATATCAAAGCCATAGTCATAGAGGTAAAGCTTTGCAAATAGAACAGATAAATGATGGGAGAGACATTGGTGGGGCGCGAGAAGAATAGGAAGGTGGAGAGATGATTGAAACACAAACATGTACAAATAGCTATCTAGACAATAAAAACAGAAGAAGCACAAGAAGAAACGCAAGATGAAACATCATCAATAGTAATACTTCTAGGGTTGACAGAGCAGAGGGAATAGTATTCCCGGAATACCTACCCAAGATGGCAGTGCAAGACCCTTTACAGCTGTAGGCGTCTCACACAGTACCAACAACAGGTTTATTGTAATACATAATGTCAATGCCCACTTTAGTATTGGATTGTGATATAGTTTGTAGTACCTGTGATGTAACACAAGAATGTATAAAAAAATAGAATAAGATTAATACAGATTTTTAATCAACTTATAATAAAATTAACGCTCATAGGGTCTATGTCCCCCCAGAGTACTATCGGGTATACGGGCCGATACTATACGATATGTCGCTGCGTACCCTGCATTGTCCCACCGTACCGTGACTTAATTTCCGCCAACTGATGTCGTAATACATACACTCTGTCAAGTTACCACATCACATAGAAGAAACCTCAAAATATTGCAATCCAATAAAAATGTAGGCCCTATGCTATGTTTGACTATATTTTTCTTTTTTCTTTTTACAATCCGCTACCAGAGGTACTTTCCGATATATCGAACCGTACCCATGCAGGGTACCCTGGGGGACATAGACGTACCCTATCAGCAAAATTAACTGAGAAAAGTGTGTCCAGGTTGGGAAGCTACACTTAACTTACAAGTATTTTTTAGCTATTACTATAAAGATGTCATTGCATATTAACTATTTTAATGTTTTGACAAATCATCCATTGTAAAATAAAATCTATCAACATCAATAAGAAACAATCGATTTTTAATCAGGTTTTCACTTATTTCTCATTCATATTAAACATGTGTTGAAAAAGAACATACTAAATATTCTTGTAATATTCATTTAAATATACCAAGTGAAAATATCGTTGAAAGCTGCAATAGAACTAATCGTATTCTTTAATCACATACACATGTTTAAGAGTTAAAAACTGATAACATTTTATGACTCAGTGTGTGAATAAGCTCAAGTAAGTAAATGACACTAACATATGTGACCCGTGATAGCCAAATGAGTCGGAAGTCGCACAGTAGCATTCTTAGTTCTACTGTACAGTCGAATTTTTTATTTTTTTATTTTTGTGGAATTTTTTTTTCAAAAAAAATATCTACAATGTTGACTTTTAATCTGTATAAGCAAATATTTCTTGATTCAATTAAAACCTGCTTAAATTGAATGATTTATAAGAAGAGGGAGGAACAGGGGGAGGGGTACATTCCCACTTTCCCAGCAAAAAACACCCCATATCCCAGTATTAAAATAAAATCCCAATTCCCAGTTCCCAGGAAATTATGTAGATGTTTCAAGAAATTCAGTAGTTTAGGTTTTCAAACACTACATAAATACTAATATTTACATACTATTATTCATCTGGGCATAATTAATAAAAAAAATAAAAAAAATAATAAATTAAATCAATATTAGCGCAGAAATTGAAATCCCGACGAATTGACACAATTTTCCCAGATCCCAGACAGTTTTAGAGGGTCTTTAATTCCCACGTCCCGATGGACTTCTCTTCCCGAATCACGGAAAATTGATCTGACATTTCCCAGTTCCCAGGTAATTAAAATGGCCAGTTCCGCGTCCCGAAAATACCCGTTCCCCCCCTCTAAGAAGTGTCGGCTAATAATATCAGTGAATGATATTAGTTTTCAGCCCTTATTTTAGACAATTCTCAGAAAATTTTAATCGCATATCTCGATTTATAATGGTCATAAAATATTCATTTTTCAACCAATTTTCAATATCTATATAACAATAGAAAGCTATGAATCTCAACCTAAAATTTCAAATTGCTATCACCGGTCACATATGTTAAACAATCTGGTACATTTTTGCTCAGACTTATAATTCGGTTATAAAAATCACGTGTGTATTCTCAGTTTGCATACCAGAATACAGTTAACGAAACAAATTACTCACCTTACAGCTTTTTCGTTTGTATAAAACTGAACAGACCGGCCAGCTGAAGCATCTAAAACATAGATTGATGCCAACTGCAATTCCTATAAAAACAACAGGGAAAATGTTGGTGTTTGTTCTGTGAAATATGGTTATAATATTATGGTTGCTGCAGTTGTTAAAAATTAAATTACGAATTTCATTCACTGTCAGAAAATTTAAAGAGCTGGATTGATACTGATCAATAGCTATTAGCAGTGAACGAATCAAATAATAAAGCTAATGTAACATATAGTGTCAATTGCCTGCATCAGTTGCCTGTATGAGCAAAATTCCTTTGGGGAGGGGGAATTTCATATAAATTGGATAATGGCAAGAGAATTAATATAGATGTATGGTCAAATTATGTATTATTTGGTGGAAGCAATATGCAAAAATCTTGGGTTTACAATTTCTGATGTTGGGTGCAAGGTAAGCAACTATATAGTGCATGGTGCATCTGGGGTGTATGTCTTGGAGATACTTACAAGTCCAACTGCTAAATAGAGAATATGCATTAACTTATCATTTTCAATCATCAGTCGATAATCACTTATTGGTTATTAACTTTTTTGGCTGCAACTGAAATAGCACTCTTTGGGTGGATCTCAAATGCGCATCTTCCACTATTGGAATACAAAATAAAATACTTTGAAGAGTCACTGGAGCTCAGTTAAAAATGTTTTTTGTATCCTAATTTTGGGGGGTTCACAACCCCTCTGGAGCTCAGAATCACTGCATTTGAGAGTACATGTAGAATTTTGTTGCCTGAAACTTGAGTGCTGATTTTAGATAAGGTCTACCCAGAATAAACACGTACACAACTGAACATGAACTCACAAACTCTGCTATATGTGTGGACTCATCTCTACTGCCAGGATCTGCTGGCTGGTTGCTAAGGGAAATTTCCACCACCTCTTCATCCTTGAAGAAACTCACTGTCCGTTGTTTCACAATGTCAGATTCAGTCATCTCAGCTCCTAAAGAAGATCAGGGCATCATGACAGAAAAAAATACAGTGCAAGAAGTTGACTGAAACTAACGCTGATAGGGTCTATGTCCCCCAGGGTACTATCGGAGGGTACCCTGGGTACGGTTCGATATATCGGAAAGTACTTCGTGGTACTATACGATATGTCGCTGCGTACCCTGCATTCTCCCACCGTACCCTGACTTTATGCTCCCGTTCATTGTTTCCGGTCCATTCCTGCAAAATATTTGTTTCAGTATTCGCATTTCTTCTGGAAATTGTATGTATCACCGTGTAATTATGCAACACGCAGGTTGATAGCACTGTTGTGCCCGTTGGTGGTGTACATTTGGAAAGATTTCTCTCAGATCATCAATATTTGAATGATATGAAAATGAATATGAAAATGAAAATATGAATATATGAAAAAGGAAAAGGAAAAATATAGTCAAACATAGCATACATTTTTATTGGATTGCGATGTTTTAAGGTTTCTTCTATGTGATGTGGTAACTTGACAGTGTATGTATTACGACATCAGTTGGCTGAAAGTCAGGGTACGGTGGGACAATGCAGGGTACGCAGCGACATATCTTATAGTACCCCAAGGTACTTTCCGATATATCGAACCGTACCCATGGTACCATCCGATAGTACCATGGGGGATCGACATAGACCCTATCAGCGAAACTAACACTGAACACAACACACATATACACTATCTAGACACAGGCACTTGGAACGTTTCAATAAAAAAATATGGTAAATATAAACACAAAATGTATATACTACGAAAGTCTCAATGTTTCTCGACACTCTTTCGCCTATTATTGCTGATAATTTCCTGTAGATGCCGTTCACATGCTCCTCTTTATTCTTGTTGTTTGTGCACATCGGCGTGCGTGCAGTGTATACCCATACTTGTGTTTCAGACGAGCATTTCTACGGCATTCACTGGAAGTTACCGGCATTTATAGGCGAAATAGAGTAGATAAACATTAAGACTTTGGTAGTAAATACATTTCGTGTTTATTTACCATATTGTATGTTATTGAAACGTTCCAAGTTCCTGTGTTTGTGACTACAGAGCCTGAGGTGATACAGATACCATTCACTATTTGTTTGTAGCAACTAACATATTAGACTAGTAACAATTGGCTAAACTGTAACACATAGCAGTGCCAGGCCCAGTATACAGCGAGATTTTATTTTATTTGTTGCATGCATACATATTTATCTCGGGTGCTGACTGGCAGCTGTGCTACGCACATCCTGATCTCTCTCCCCCTTGTGTTATTGCCCTCTACACTGTTTTCGCCAGTGATCTCTATCACTCGCTTCTTCAGCAGCGGTCTCCCAGTTGATGTTCATGTCTGCCAGCTGCTGCTTCATCAATCTCAGCCAGGTAGTAATTGGTCGACCGACTGGCTGATCTACTTTCCTATCTGCTTCACGGAGTGCTAACCTGACAAGAGTGTTTGTGGAGTCTCATGATGTGTCCAAACAGTCCAATTCTGCGTGTTTTAATGATTTCGCTCCATTCTGTGAATTTGAGTAGTTCTTTCATGGCGGCGGAACAAATTTTCTGAGAGTATCTGATATTTATAGTCCTCCTTAGAAGGCGGCGTTGGACAGAGTCGATTCCACCAGCAAGATCTTTAGTTATTGACCATAATTCGGAGTTGTAGAGGAATACAGGCTCTATGAGAGCTGTGAAGAGATGGTACTTCTTTGTGATAGGTATACGATGGTGATGCCATATATTGTCCCAAACATTCATTGCTAATATAGCTTTTTGTTTTCTTTCAATGAGGTCTTCCTCAGTTCCAAGACGACTGCATACCCACGTATTTACATTTTTTCCAGTTATTGCTTCCCCCTCTTTTAATTGTATACTCCTCGGTTTTGTCTAGGTTACAGGAAAGGTTTTTTGCTGTTGAGCTGTGGTGGTATTGTTTCTTTGTAGTATTGAGCAAGATGATACGGTCCTATGATGATCCAGCCTATATCATCCGCATACTGTGGTGTGATGGTTACGTTGAGGTTGTTCTTTATTTTTCCATAATTATGGTCGCAAAGGTGTGATGGAATAGTGTCAGGTGTTGATGATGGGTATTGGTGGTCTCTCAGTTCTAGTTTAGACTTTGTCAGACTGCGTGCTAAGTACCATATAAATATTACTGGGCTGAAACAGTCGCCCTGCGGTCCTCCCATGTTGGTGATGAAAGGATCTCCCAACGTATCACCTACCCTAACCTGAAGTCTCACATCTTCCAATCGCATTTTGATCATATGGCGTTCATCTTGTTCGATGATTTCGGCATTATGGTTGCCCTGTCTATCGTGTTGAAAGCTTTTGACATGTCCATCATCAATATATGTGTCATGTAATCTTTGGATGATATAGCTTTTTCGGCCATGAGTTTATAAGCTAGAACTTGCTCAGTAGTGGACAGTCCATGTTGGTATGAAGCTTGACTTGCTGGCACCTCAAGTAATATTCTGTCTGTGATGCGGCGTATGATTGTGATGGCTAAAATTTTCCTAATTAATGACAGTAGAACAATGGGCCTTAGGTTGGCGCAGGGACCTTATTTCTTTCTATTTTTTTGTAAAGGCGTTAGTACCCCAAGTTTAATCTCTTTTGGATATGTGCCAGATCGTGCCATTTCATTTAATATTTCAGTGATTTCTGATGTGATTTCGATTGGACAATTTTTTAGTTGTTTGGATCGCAGCTCGTCAATGCCGGGGCTTCTATTTTTGCGTAAGGATTTGATGGTGCGCTGAATTTCTTCTCGACAGAATGGTATAGTCATTTCGCATGGTGTGATTTCATGGATGGGTTTGGCAGTTTTGTTATTGAGAGCATTCTTGAAGTGAGTCGATATCTGCTTCACTTGTTCTGTTGCACAGGTGGTGACGCCATCATTGGTCTCAATCAGTAGTTGTTTCTTTTCGCTTCGCCTCTGCATAGCTTTTCAGTGCATTAAACATCATGGTGGAGTCATTTTTTGCTTGCAGTATCTCCTTTACGTCTTCCTTTATTTTGGCGACTTCTTCATTTTTCAGAATTCTATGTATACGATGAAGTGTATTATTTCTCTCGACCCTAATTTACTGTCTTTTGACTGGAACGGTGCAGAAGCTTTCATTGGCACACAGTTGTTTCTGATATAGCGATAGGTTTTTTGCTACTTCCTCATTTGAGCTCTTCTTGTTTGTTGTCCTTAGGCCAAGAACCTTTTCCGCTGCTAGGTGGTTTGCATTGACAATCTTCGATTCTTTGTTGGATTTGTTCTTTTCCAGAAGTATCAGCTTGCTCATATAGTTTGTTTTGACTGCATTCATGTGGTTTGTGCACAGGGCGTGCGTGCGGTGTACTACTTGCATGTGTTGCCGATGATCGAGCATTTGACCGGCATTTACGCTGATACGGTCTATGTCCCCCAGGGTACTGCCGGAACGTACCCTGGTAACTATCTAGCTGATATGGTTAGGGTTATAGTGTTAGGGTTAGGGTTAGGGTTGGGGTTAGGGTTAGGCGCAGGCGACTCCCTAGACTCGATAGTGGAGTAGGCGAGGTACGGTCCGGCATATTAGATAGTAGTATTTAGTACCAGGGTACGTTCAGGTATACCGGACCGTACCCAGGGTACGTTGCGGCAGTACCCTGGCCTGGGGAACATAGACCCTATCAGCGGCATTTACTGGAAATTAGCGGCAATAATAGGCGAAATAGAGAAACTACATACTATTACTAACTACACTTGACTACTTTTGGCATTTTTTGGTGATTTTGGTAGTAAATACATTTCGTGTTTATTTACCTTTTTTTATTGAGACGTTCCAAGTGACTGTGAGCTAACAAACAACTTGAACTAAAACTGCCGTGTGCCACTGTAGGCGGATAGGATTAAAATACCCCTTTTGAATTAACATTTATGACCAAAATATTACGCGCGTACCTTTTAGTTTTACGCCGTTCCCCTACATTAGTTTTGTCTTATCATATAATGCTCTTATGCTCTTGAAGCTGTTGCGCATCATGTGTTGGTGGGCGTCTCAATCTTCCGCGGGAACTGTCGGTGTCATAAAAACTTATACGACATGTAGAATTTTTCGTAAACCAATACCTAAAAAACATACCTATCTGTTTTATCTATAACAGTTTATTAGGTTATTTATTTATTAATTTATAATATACGATAATATATTGTACAGACAATAATATATATTATAACATTAAATAGACATGTTATTGTTAAACAGACAACAAAAATAAGCCCAGACCTAGACTTGTACCCGTTCCTTCCACTGATCTCATATGTTATATCATTTGATTATTTTATATTAATTGACCTTTTCTATGATTTTATCATCTCTACTTTTAATATAATTATAGCAGAGCATATAAATCAACTGATATAAGTTGATATAAGTGCTCTGATTATAGTTAGTATCAGTGGTCCCTTTTCACAAGCTTGATGTAGGGGGGCCAGATAGCGACAAACTCCACGACAGATGGCGCTCTCGCTCTCGCTGCCACAAGTAAATTTCCATTACGTCACGCTTTTTTACTACAAGTTTTACAGCAGCCACGTTATTCGTATCCTATGTAATAAGATTTTGACTAATAAAAGTTGCAGAGAAATTAAAAATCTGACCGTTATTTCATGAAAAGTTTGATAAAACAGTGATACGAAATAGTACACGGATTGTGCGCCCAGTTACCTTTTTCAAATCATACGCTATTTACGAATCTCCATTCGCTGGATTTCCCCGGAGTTCCGCCCACTTTAAAAATAGTGCTAGCATTGTGGCAATAGTTGGTATTTTGTGTCGGGCGCGTGTGTCGAGCTTGTGAGAAGTGACGTTTACCAGTGTAAACCCAGATCCTGGTTGGAGAATAAAATGCTAAATTTCGTGTTCGCATCCGTGATCTTTTCAATTTGTTGTGTTGGACGTTTTTAACGCCGAAAGAATAAACACTAAACATGGATGATGGAAGCCGGTACATCGGACGGACGTAGCACAAGTCCCGGATACGGAGTCTACGTCGGAGGTAAGCAAACGTAGGCCTACTGCCCAGTTCTAGTAGTAGTAGTAGTACTAGTAGTAGTAGTAGTAGTAGTAGTAGTAGTAGTAGTACTATACTGTCGGCCCAAGGATAGAGAACATGGGTCCAAATAGAAGCTGATTTTTTCTGCCGATAGATGGCGCCACTATGCTATATAGCGACTTGTATTATACTTACGAATATTACATATTTTTATACTAATATATTTTTTATGGATATATTTAATATAGATTATATATATTATATGAGGCAACGTACACGTGATGGTCATGTTACTGCCCTGACCGATAATTCTGTCCATATAACCTTTTTTGTTTGGTGAGGGTTATTATTGAGGACATATATATTAACCTCCAAATATAAAAAGTTATATGTGAAGAATTATTCAGGTTAGTACATAGAAATTGCTCTATATTAGCGGCAGATTTGCGAATCATCGCCGGACAAGCGATCCTGGTCGGACGCAGTATGTTAACTGTCTACGTCACGAATTTGGACTCAGCAAGTTGTGTTAATATTTGCTTACAATAAATGTATGAAAATCACTTGGTTTCTTGTTTCTATGCTTATATATCTTCTTTTACTCTATTTCCTGGATCCATTCGATGTACACAAACGCTCGACACAACATGTTCTACTAACAACCGCCTGTGAAGTTAAATTGATTGGCACTAGCCCGCTCTACGATTATAGCGCATTTGCGGTAACGAGGCATTGCAATATTGGGCAGCTTGGATTTCTTGTAAACTTAAGCGGGAGTTTCTATATCTCTTCTTTCGCTTTTTTTCTCTTTCATTCCACCCCCCCCCCCCCCTTTTTTTCCGGGTGCAGTTGTCTGCCCCATTGTTGATCGTTTAGTGATCTAGCCTCTTGATCTATTGGAGGGGAGTCCAAACATTTTGTTGGCCAAATTTAACAACAATACATTTCGCAGTTCTAATAATACTTTTTCCCTAATACACTGACATATATTATCTTATTTTCTATTTGTTATTCTATTAGCCAACCAAATCAAAACAGAAACTGTTTGGGCACCACTTTGTGCACCATACACAAATCACGATGACATCGACCACAGCAACCAGTACAGCAACAGAGACGCCAGTAATATGTAAATAGTGTTAGACAACACTAATTCAAATCGTCAAGATTTTTGCAAATTTAACCAATGTAAAAACATTTTTATCAGCTGAGAGTTTGAGGATATATTTAGTAACGTTAGTACTAACTTTTGATGCAAAAAAATTACTAAAATAAGGTTTCAACTATATTTTATTAAATAATTTCTGGAGATTCGTGACGTAGACACTTTAAGTCATGATGAATATAAATCCGTTTGCGACCAGACACAAACAAGTGCGGATCTATATATACATGAATATAGAGACGTTTATTGAGCAATGTTGCTGTAGTGACGCAATGTATATATAGAAATATATGTAGCGTTGTTAGTGCGACGGCGTATAGTAGGTATACCAGGTATATATAGAGCGTACAGCTCGACAGTGAGGTAGGGATGTATATCAAGAGTAGATAATAGGAGAAGAGTATGACACCGTTTTAACAGTGTTTTGCATAGCTTTCAACTTGTAAATATTCTATCAATATGTGAATAAATATATTCAAACGTTACCTTGTTTTCGTGTATGATTCTCCGATTCATTTCACCATCCGAGAAAGGTTTTCCGTGTTGCGCTATGAGCTGAGCTACCACATAGCCAGCGATTGTAGCATTTTCTTGTGTTTTGTTTCCTCGGAAAAAACCTGTTGTTGAGCTCGCAGGCTAGCTGCCATTTTCTTAACTTTCTCTTCTCTCTCAGCACCAGTGTAGGACATGAAGGTTTCTGCATGTTTAGTTTCATAGTGTTGTCGTACGTTATATTCTTTCATCACTGCAACCGTTTCATTGCATATCAAACAGACACTTTCCCTTGACTTCTGCTAAGAAATATTCAATTTCCCTCCGAGTCTGAAATTTTCTGCACTCGCTAGCTACCTTGCGTTTCTTGGGTTCTGTCATTTTGATCTTGGTAAATTTTCTTTGATTGGTTTTTGTTTGGTGGACAAGCTGCATTGCATTGCTGAAGAGTCCAATAAATATTGTGTTTTGACTAATAGCTAGGGCCCAGCTAACTTGCAGAACAAAAATTAGTTTGCATACCTGAAGCGCACATAGTGCGGGAGGGTGCGCACCATGTACCCGTCCAGCATTACGCGCTTCAGAGCTTTGTAACCGGGTAAAGTTGCCTTCATCCACTGCAGGCCTTCACTTGGCAAGTTTCCCTCAATATCTGCGTGCATGCACTTGCCAGGGCCGCCGTCTCCAATTGTACATTTGTGGATGCCGCGAACGTGCTGGAGATAGCCCTTCCAAAGAACCTGTAATTTTAACCATATCATATACCAAGCACGCATTGCCATTTAACCTGTATAAATGTGGCTCACCGTACTCATGAGCAACAACTGCAAAACAGTGCAAGTCGTGGCATTTTTTACTGAATCAAACTTTTTTTCCAGGTGATATTAGATAAAACATGCACCTGCAGTTAGGGGGGGGGGGGGGGGCGGGCGGCGTGGTGTGATTGAGGTCATCGCGTTCGCGCAGCAAAAGCCATAAAGGTAGTTCATCTATGATGTTTGATTACGCATGGCCGCAGTTTAAATTCGGCAGCGCAGGCCTCTGGAGCGGCCTGAAGTACAATTACAATAGTTAGACACGTGAACAAACTTCATGAAGTGTAGTGAGTAGGAACCACTAAATAGTGTTCTGGTATTAAAGTCTTTCTTCATCTGGCAGTTACATCACCGCACAGATGTTGAAGTTAATTGCAAGACGATGTGAATCACACCGTGCAAAACATCAGATTACTAGTGTGAACTGCCGATGTGGTTAAATCTATAAAACAATAGTAATCCTTACCTTATTCAATCTGGCTATGCTCCAGTTTTGTTAACACGTGCCAAAACGTCGTCAGGAGATCCTGACTCGGAGGGTGGTTTTCTTTTCTGTGTAATGACGCAACATCAGAATGTCAGTTAATGCCACGTGATGGTATGGTCGTGCACCATAGTGCTACGATGTAAAAAAAAGCATTCGGTTGTTTCTAATCCCATTGTCGTGAAAGCTCGCCAAGCCCGCACGATAACCTTACTGGCGAAGCGCATTCGCAATTCTGCCATGATGACCGTTGCGTCCATCCACAGGTGGTGATTTTATCTTATCACTGTAGAGCGGTGATTGTGTGCGATGGGCATCGGCGGTGAGCCATCTCCGTCGACAGTTGAGTCTCATGTGCAAGCAACGGCCGCATGGCACAGATCAGGCACATCCTCAATGCTTTGGGGACTCATTCCTTGTGGCCTTGCTTGATGGTTGATAATGGTCAGCACGCGAATAAGGGCTTTCGTGGTGCTCATGAACGAACGTAGGTGGCAGGAAACATCGCCGGAATGTCTAGGCGAGTCGTTGCGGCGCATCCAACGTACATACAAACAAATGACGTACGTGAAGTGTTAATTAGAATGCGCCTTATAGACAGTAAGCGGCAGCAAAAGGTTCGAAGACGTGGAAGAAGGAGATGGCAGTATGTGGTGGCGAAAGCAGAGCATGTAAAGTATTGATCAACTTAAATGGCATGCCACGCTATATCACGCTATAAATGAATGATGTTGTCAATCTGTGTGCCAACTGCACTAGCTTACGCGTCAAAAATTACGAAAAGTCTCTTATTATTATGTGCTGTATTTGGGTCGAGGTGCTCTCTGTCTGGCATCCATGGGGCACATTTTCTTCCTGCGATGGCTGGCACGGCGTAGAGCTTCTGAATGTCATGAAAGGTGGAAGCACTCATCATGTTAGCATTCATGAACTTCATGAGGAGTGCAACCTTTCTGTAACTGCTGCCGGATATGATGATGTTGCTGGCAAGAAGAAGGTTGCCTAGCCTCACCTTGTTGGCAATAGGCTGGAAGGCCCAACGACTCGTACAGCTTGGCTTGTGCCCATTTTTGCATGCCTGTAAAGTACAAGTTGACACATACGTAATTTGTTTCAACTAGCCATTTTTTATCATTTGTTATCCACTACAAACAAATATTGTTGGCACATCATTTATTCCTGTTCAGAAGCATGTAGACGTATGTGCAACTACACTTAAAAAGCACCTAAGTTAATACAAACATGCATTTAATTATTGTTTGTACAATAGCTGAGTAAGCATATTTACCCAGTCTATGAAAAGGCATGTCGCATTCGATTTTGCAGACACTACGATCTCTTCTGCGCAATGAGCATATTTGCAGAACTTGCCGGTAACACGCTGTGCTAGCTCAACGTTGCATGCGATCTATTCCTGTGTCCATTTGAGATGACTGAGTGTCGATTTGTGCTTCTCCACCCGATCCATGTGATTACCCGCATCTCCACCTCTTCCTGTGCCCGCAGCCCCGCCTCTTCCTGCTCCCCTCGCTCCACCTTCATCGCTCCTTCCTCTCCCTCCACCTACATTTGCCTGTTGCTGCTGTGGAAACGCAAGCTGCAGGTCCTGTTCTGCTAATGCAGGTGGGACTGGGCATCACTTACTCATCATCGAAGTGATTTGAGGATGGCATGCTGATCTGTAACAATTTCCTCTATGTCCAGATTTCTCATGAGGAAATCCAATCCTCGCACGAAACCAAGTGCCTCCATGTTGGTACTCTTCATTGCCGTTTCTCTAACATCGACGTTGCTGACATCCAGTATTGTGTGGTTGGTGGCATCCATTGTGGTGTATGTGCAATACTTTGCACTGTGACCAGGCCTGTCCATCTGGGCATCACCTGCTATCACAACTGGCTTCCCCTGTCGTTTGGTTAATTCCCATTTAACCATTTCTTGCCAAAATGTGCTTCATGCACATAGATGCGCTGAACTCTGAAATTCAAAAAGAAAAGCAGGATGTAATATTGTTTAGCCTATTGTGAAGCCTCGCATGCGGGGGGTCGGGGGTTCGACTCTAAAACCGGGTCATACTAAAGACTTGAAAAATGGTACACACACTGCTTAGCACTAAGCAAATAGATATAGTGTGGAAAGTTAACTCGCAGTGCTACCAGTGGACTAACCCCCTATTACCATAGCATTGACTATGAAAGCTGCTGTGTCGCCTCAGGTTAAGGGAACGGACATAGGCACCACCCTATCTGCCACATACGCACAGGCAGGAATTAACTCTACTATTGTGTAGTGTCATTGATAAGAGCTGGTTTTGTAAAAATAACACATAAAAAAAATTAAATAATAATTGTGTTTTTAATTCTTGTAATGTGTTATTATAAAAGAACAATTAATAACAAAAAAATAAATATCAAGCAATAAATATCAAAGATAGCGTTATTCCCAGGCAACGATCAGCATAAAGTTGATGGAATTTTGTATGTATATATATATACCTGTGATGTGAACTCTTTCCCACGAAGCTGCAGTTCAACATTTGGAGAAATCTGTCCAGCTTGACGAACAGCGAACCAGTCAGAGGTATGCATGCCGGTATGAGCAGATTGGCAGCATACATGCCATGGATTCGTGGTTGGGAACACCACCTGCCATTAACATGTCTGCTATCTTTAGAACAGGTCCAGAAGACGAGCAGAGCAGAACCTTTGGTCACGAAGCGATACTCCAGAGCTCTGCTACACACTTCGCAGTGTTCTCCATAAAGTTCCCTGTGATTACAAAAAACATGTTACAAAGTTTGACAAGGATAACCTGAATTTACTCGTCACACTTTTTTGTAAAAAATAAAATCAGTAGTGTGTAGTAGTAAATCAGCGGTGTGACTTATACACGAGGCTAAGAAATCTTTTTAGTGTGCCAATACTTGTGCCAACTTTTCAAAGCAAAATATAGAATGCATCTTATACACGAGGAGCTAACGTATTTGCCAGTATTTGCTCTATAGTCCACAGCACTGTTGCACTGAACAGGGGCGTGTACAGGATTTCTACAAGGGGGGTGGGGGGCCTAACCGTAACCCGAACTTGCGAGCACGCGAAGGGTGGGTCCAGGGGGCCACCTCAGAAGCGTTTTCTGCGCGCGCAGAGGAGGGGGCGGACCTCCGGAACCCCCCTCCCCCTCCCCCGTACACGCCCCTGCTGAATGTTAAGGTACACTCATTGATGTACTCATTGTTTGTGTATATACAAATAGATTGCAATGTGGTGTTAGATTAGGATGATCCTTATAGAATGTAAACCTGTATGTGGAATTATAAACACTCTACATGATGACAGCAACACACACGCAATAGTAATGGGTCACTGTGGTTTCGCAGGTGAACAACAACTTTTTTAAAAGGTACTTACTTGAGGAGAAAATTGATTGGCTCCTTAAAGCATATGTATTTTGCCTCCTCAATGACCATTTCAGGGTTTTCTTTGTAGAGTGCATCACTCCACAGTACTTGGGGTGATGTTGGCATGTAGTTCGGGTCAGCGTCTTCGCTACCAGATTCTGCAGGCGAGTCCTCATGGTGATTCACACCAAACATGTCATCTTCAATCTGACTCTGATTTATTACCTTTTCTCTGTAAAGATAGGGTTAATCATGAGACATAGTGGCACATTCACTCTAAAACGTGCATCACTGCAGCAGTTTTACCAGTATTATATTTGTCAGGTACGTGTTTTATTGTGTATTATATTGTAGTCGCTGGGTAATTCTGGTGCCAGACAACTGTGCGCTTATAGGCAGTGTTCTCATTAGGAACCGGCCACCGGCCGAATTGACCGTCTACTCTGCTGTTTCGGCCGGTTACAATTGGCTCAAGTATGATATTTAAAAAAAAAATCCCCTTTTTTCTAATTTTTTTATTTTAATTGCATTTAGTTTGCTCTAATTATTCTCCAAAGTGAAAGTGTTTTATGAGCTACTACTAATAAATCAGTTGAGTATATTTGTGTGCATGTTATGTGCACAAGAAGCATTGTTTTGTTTTTGAGTAACACTATTTACGTACTTAATTGTCTAACTCTTATAATTACTAAATCGTCATAATTTGGAAACTTTTGTGAACTCTGAATTACCCCGGCAGAAAGCGGCAAATGAAAAACGGACCATACTGTAACCAAATGTGTCCCTGTTTAGTGCAGCTCAAATACACCAACAAGAGGCATCTCCAAGGTTTTTTTTTTATATGTGTGCGGACCCCCAAACCCCCCGCGCCGGGCTACTCCCGCCACGGCCTGTTACATAAAAAATATGAAAAACCGCTGTATAGGTGACTGCTATTAGCGCCGGAAATGTGTGACAACTTAGAACAAAATACGTAGAAGGAGACTTGGTAATCGTGTACAACGCCGTTTACACTGGTATTGTCATACGCACAAAACACCCTGAAACGCACTAACACACTATAGTAATCTAGCAACGGCGAGGACGTGACAACATAGAACCCCGTGTCTCCGTGCGGCTCTTATACCACCGATCTGCAAGATGAGTGCGCGAATTCCTTTAACCAAAATATGCCTCTACCACTCACTGCCGGCTAGCAAGAAAGGCATATCTAGGTGCTCCTATTACGCCTACGACGGGTTGAAAATGGGATACCGGTATGAATTGACCCTGCGGTCAGGGTTGAGATTTGTTTTGGCTCTCGGAATAAGAAAATTAGAGGTGACATCGATAGCCTTAAGCCGGTAAGGTATGGGTGGATGGCTCGTGAACTAAATCTGCATGTAACTAACCGCACACCGGGTGGCTATTTGTAGCAGTGTATGTGTCCAGTGGTCTAAGATAGATCGGTGCTTCTAGCCCGTCAGTATGGTGTAAAATTAGCTTGTGTGGACTGATGCTAACTGTGGTTACTGACCTCAGCGTTGCTACAATATTATTGACATTAAACTGCATGTTATTGCAGCAAAATGCATAGGTATACCTATTGTGAGCTCGTCTATTATGTAAATACTCACTACTAATTCAAACTAAAATCAAAACTAATTTGTATTGCTACTTTCATAATATTTCTTCACAAAATCTAAACGAAATTACTTGTCTTATGAAAGTAGCACTACAGTGATGTTTACACATCAGGGACACAGCCGAGCAAATGCTGTAATTCATTAACAGTTTTTTTCTTTATTAAGTTATTATTCATTATTCAATGTTTGTTCAGTACGAAATTGTGAAATTTGTTTAAATAATATGTCATCAAGAGTAGATAATAACACAAGAGTGAGACAACCGATTCCCGCATTTTTAACCGATTTTTCTCATCAAAATTTGCCACCAATAAAGAAGCAAGTGTATGTACGTTCCTCAGCTTATTATGACCACTAATCACTCACCTTCATGGTACTGATATTCGTTTACATATATTTGCTAGAGTATTGCTGTAAATCGTAATCTTGCACGAGCTGAATTCGCACGATTTACCGCTGTTGCTGTGACCTGTTTAGCCATTATTTAGAAGCTATTGGGGTGCTAATATTTAGCAACGGACGGTTTCCAAATCATTCGTGCCCGATAGGGTTGAGAGACAATCTAAATTTCGAATTTTGATCTGGTGAAGAACCTGCGAGACGCGCTCAGTTTATTGTGATCGCAACACAAGAAATTGACATACTATCTTACATAAGTAATAATACAATAATAACAATATTCTTTGTAGTAGTTTGCAGTAAGTATCACATTACGCACGCGCAGGTAATCAAGTACATTAAAACCCTATCGGGGCACGCATGGTTTGGAAACCGTCCGTTGCTAAATATTGGCGCACCGATAGCTTCTAATAATGTCTAAACAGCTCGCAACAAGTCGCCATTTTAGCGGTAAATTTATCGAATTCAGCTCGTGCAAGATTACGATTTACAGCAATACGCTAGCAAATATATGTAAACGAATATCAGTACCATGGTGAGTGATTAGTGGTCATAATAAGCTGAGGAACGTATACACTTGCTTCTTTATTGGTGGCAAATTTTGATGAGAAAAATCGGTTAAAAATGCGGGATCGCTTCTTTATTGGTGGCAAATTTTGATGAGAAAAATCGGTTAAAAATGCGGGAATCGGTTGTCTCACTCTTGTGTTATTATCTACTCTTGATGTCATCTAAATGCAATCAGGAACCAAATATAGTTTTTTCTTTCCAGGAACTATTTGCGCTAGCGTAGCCCATTCGCTTAACATAAGTTATATGTATCTATACGCCAAAGTTACAGCAAAACTGCGTCAGACATTGATTTGAAAATCCCAAGGTTTGGAGCACATTTCTGGCTCATTGAGAACATTTCGTGATGTTTGCATACTGCAAGTATGCTCACAGTAGGTCTATATTATATAGGCTTTTTGTTGCGAGGTTCAGCAACTTTAACCACTGTAGTTGACCCTCCAAACTGATCCCTCTAAACCTCACCAACTTGAATAGTACTTACACATCTGCCAACTTCTTAGACGCTTCTGCTTGTGATAGGAACGGTGTGCGACTGTCAAGAGTATCCCTAAAAATATGCAACATGTGTTAGCAGGAAGGATCAGCAAAGGAGATAGAAAGATAGAGAAAATAGCAAATTTGTTAATGTGCTATTGCCATGTTTTAAAAATATAAAACAGATTTTCCAGTTTAAGTGTTTTTAGTCTTCTAATACAGAATGTAGAACATCAATTTGCTGGCCCTGTTATATAGCTCTAAACATATATAAAGGGAACGTACTTCCACAAAGCTTGCCGTATGTTGGGAGACAGACCCTTCTCCTGTGCCACAAGTTTTTGAATGGGCGACATTGGTGTCCATTTCACAAGAGTGGCATCCTGATCTGCAAAAAAAATAAAATCTAATGCTGACTAAAATGTTAAACTCTGTATAAAATTTTGTTAGTTTGCAAAAAAATTAAATTACTAAACCATTCTAAAAGATGACTGAATTGTTACTATTTTCATTTCAAATTCTGGAGTATGCATGTCTAAAAAGCTGCAGACTATTCCATATATATCTTTCCATATATTGTCAGCATTTTCCAGAAAACAAATGGTCGAATTTTGAATTAATGAAATGACAAAACCAGATTGTAATTTTCATACGGAAAATATGAAGAGAATTACAATCTGGTTTTGTCATTTCGACATGTAGAATATATTTAGACAAGTATTGTTACGATTGTTTGTGCATTAGATAACAGAAAATTGATGTTTGTAAACAAGTAGGCCACAATATGTAACAAAGTAAGGAAGCAGTGTCAATGTACCTGTCCTGGTCGGAGTACTTTCTGCAAATTTTGGTGTACAAGGTTGTGCTTCACTTGTACTACTTGTAGCGATACTTTCTACACCTTCAGCTGGTAGAGACATCGATTGAGAGCTCTCAACGTAGCTTCTCT